CCTTTAAAATATAAATCCTTTCGCGAAGTCGCGTGCACGTGACTCCGGCCGTTAAAGTGTACAGAAAGATTCTTCCAATTTCGACGTTTTGAAATAATATTAATATCGAAGTGAAATATGCGAGACTTTACGATCCCGTAAAAGCTGACGAATTTGCGATATTCGTGGAAGCAACGTTCATTTTCTCCGCGATTAAAGCGTTTTCAGCGAGAGATAGGCAATCGTTCGAGTGACTTTTTATCTAGATAATCATACGAATGAATAAATAATCGAAGAATTACGAATGTAGCGATCAAGAATTACGACTTTAGCGATTGTCTACTGTGCCGCGATCGATCCCACTGCTTTCGCTATCGTTAAATTTTAAAATCAAATATCAAACTTATCGCGATCGCCGCGCTAACACTAACGGATTTGTCCCGTTTATAAATAAATATAAATTACAACGATTCGGGCGCAGCTTGCGAAATAATTAAACGTTGAATTCGCAGCCTGTATATCAATCGGGGTTCTCGAGGTATCGATTGGAAAACGATCGCTAGCGCGCGGAAAGTTTCGAGCCGCAACTGGAGATTAATTGAAATATTAATCAGGACGGTTTGACTTTCTTCGGATGCCGCGCGACCCGAGTTTCGCCTGGCGACTTTTAATTGAAACATAATCCAGCGACCGGGCTAATTAACCGAGCCGGATGAGATTTCAGTGGGCGATGGAAATCCGTCGCGACGGAGCTGGCCCGCAACTCTTTTTGCATATCTTAAATGGCTGGTTCCGTTCCGTCCATCGACGGTCGACGAGCAAACAGCTGCCCGCAATCTCGGTTGTCGAAGAGCAACGGAGCTTGAAAGTAGATGGGGTGCTCCTACAGCCAGACAATGGGCTATGGCGTCCCAATTTCCTTGCGGGTTCCAGTCTGTTGCGACGCGACGCGGACCGGAGTCACGATCCGGTGCATGTATCAACCGTTCCGGCTAAGTCGTGTCCCCCGGAAAACTTGATACCCGAAAAAGGGAACCGCCGACGAAACGGAAACGTGATCGGGCGATAGCTGCTAACGCGTATGTTGGCGATAGCTTATTTTTAATCCTGGAACGGTCGCGCGTGGGGTGTTCGACACTCCAGCCATTTGTTTTATAATTGACGTTCCTTTATTCTTTAGAAAAATGTTAAGCGGTGTCACCTAACAGTCAATATTCTGAATTTAGCTTGAAAGCTCAATTAAAAGCTAATTAAAAGGTTAATTAAAAATGCCAAAAAGTCACGGTAGCGTGATTTTGTTCGCGGTACAGTAAATTCTCTGCAATTGTCCCTCAGCTTGGAAACGAAAATGGACAATTTGGGAAGAGAAGATATGATTATTCGAGCCTCGCGGCTCGTTCTTACAGTTGTTGACAATCGGAGACTATAAAAACGAGCCGCGACAACTATAACCGTCAATTAAAGTTACATAAAGTGACTTGTAAAAATAATGCAGTAAATTTTTCCAAAATTGTTTATTTTTGTTTAGAAGCCGAAGGACAATTTTGGAGAGAATTTACAAGTCTCCTGGGGTGTCGCGCACCCCACGCGCCGCTTTATGTAACTTTAATTAACGATTATAATTAGCGTTGCTTTTATCGAATATGTCACATTAAATTTTATTATTCAGAAATAGACAAAACCAATGGGACAAATTTTAATGAATAGCTTTCCAATTTCGGGCACTTTTTAAAGGAATTGGATAAATATATATGTACAGCTTTGAAACGTTACAGTTGTATTGAATTAAATTTTTGATACAAAGTTATTTATTTACTCGTCTAGTATTAACCCTTTGTACTCGAAGCTATATTAACTGTAAATTTAAATTAACTTTCCCGATTTATGGTATTTTCATTTTAATGACAAAGTGCATTTTACGCATATAAAATCGAGTCTTGTGACTCATACAACAGTTAGACTTTTAACAATTCTTTATACATATAATTATATANTGTTTATTTTTGTTTAGAAGCCGAAGGACAATTTTGGAGAGAATTTACAAGTCTCCTGGGGTGTCGCGCACCCCACGCGCCGCTTTATGTAACTTTAATTAACGATTATAATTAGCGTTGCTTTTATCGAATATGTCACATTAAATTTTATTATTCAGAAATAGACAAAACCAATGGGACAAATTTTAATGAATAGCTTTCCAATTTCGGGCACTTTTTAAAGGAATTGGATAAATATATATGTACAGCTTTGAAACGTTACAGTTGTATTGAATTAAATTTTTGATACAAAGTTATTTATTTACTCGTCTAGTATTAACCCTTTGTACTCGAAGCTATATTAACTGTAAATTTAAATTAACTTTCCCGATTTATGGTATTTTCATTTTAATGACAAAGTGCATTTTACGCATATAAAATCGAGTCTTGTGACTCATACAACAGTTAGACTTTTAACAATTCTTTATACATATAATTATATAATACTTAATATAATAATTATAAATTAATTATACATATAATATATTCTTTATATATATAACAATTCTTTTTTTAACAATTCTTTTTATTACAAAAATGATCTTGGAACGTGGTACAACAATTTTCGTGGTGCCTCGGAGTCACCACTCGAGCGCAAAGGGTTAATAAAATATGAATGATGGATTAATAAAGTATTAATAAAAATTCAAGCAAGAACCTGAATCTACGTGTAGAAAGTCCCGTTCTAGAAACTCAGAATGCAAAAAACGTAAATCTACGCGGCCCGTCCTAAAAAGTCAAAATAGGAAAACGTAAATCTACGCGGCCCGTCCTAGAAAGTCCGAATAGAAAATCATAAACCTACGTGACCCGTCCGTGAACATTACTTCATCCCCAAAAGAATCTATCCATGGAGCGAGCAAGGCAGGAATGCCTTCTGCTAAGAGAACCACGACTGACCTCTCGGCACTTGCCCGAGAGAACCGTCAAAGATTACGTATCTTTTAAGCGCGCGAATAATTCCTAGCCCGCGCGCGACGCGTCGTACGCGCAAACAGGAGCACGGTGTTCGCAAGTTCGCAGTGTTCGCAGCAAACTGGAAGTCCATTGAACGGGATCCAATCTCGGAGGAAGAGCCTCGCGACGACGGGGATGATTCGCAATATCATCCCCGCGCAAGACCAGCGGTGTTATTTACGGAATTTCGCAGACGATTATGCGCCGCCGCGCGGGCTATGAGACGTTAAGGGGGGTGGGTGATGGGAGGGTGGACGGGTGGAGAACGAGACGAGGAAATGTTTCCAATAGGAAGCACAATATTTTCCCCGGAGCTCGAGGCACGGGGCTCCCTCCCGCCCCCCCTTAAGATCCGATCCGCGCTCCACAGAGGCCGGGCTTATAATTCCGGAAAGTCTACGGCATTTCGGGATTCAATCTTTACACTCCCGCGGCTCCATTCTCCCCTGTAATTCCAATGAATCCTCCGCGGGAGGGACGCCTTCCCTCTTTCCGTCGCGATAACGTCGTCGGGCCTATCGAAGCGCCTTCCATCCATTCAGGCCAGCTGTTACACGCTCCTCGGCGCGGCGCGGCGCGACGCGAGCCTGGCCCACGCTGACAAAGACCCTTTTCCTCGTGTCCATGCATCCGTTCGGACGTGTGTACGTGCGCCGTATACGACCAAGAAGGCAGCCACGTCGACTCGAGAGCCAGATGGTTCTTCCATTGACGTCTGTCTGTCTGTCTGTCTGTCGGTCTGTCTCCGTCTGACTCTGTCTGTCCGTCTTTTTGTCTGCCCCTCTGTCTCGATGGCTGTCTGACTGTCTGTCTGAGCACGGCTGCAGACGCGTCCTCGGTCTGCCGCGTACCCTCACACCTGCTGTCCAATTTCGGCTCCATATTTATCTTCCGAGCGAACCGGGATGTCCCACCGCCGCTCACCCCCGCGAATTATTATGTGCGCGAATTAACCCCCCCCCCCTCCCTGCGGGATGACACTCCGGAGCACTGTCGAGGGGATATTTCGGTCCGCAGGACCTGTCGCTCATCGGGTCTTCGTTAGGACATTTTTTTCTCCGCGAGGTCAGGAGACTGTTTCGTATTGATTTTCTGCGCACGTGTGTTGTACCTCTTGGAACGAGGAATATCATTTTTTTCCTTTTTTTTTGAAGACGGAATACTCGAAATTGTACGAGCGGTTCATTTTTGTCTTTGTATTAATTATTTTATCTTTTCATGTAATAATAAGATTATGTTATTTGGCTTTGGATTGACGTACAGTTAGTTACAAAATTGAGTGGACACCTTGTAGAACGTGATAACTTTTTTAAGACTGGACTGAGTGACTTGAATCTTTTTTTTATGATAGGGGTTGATCTACTAAACGATGACGAAAATGCCTCTTTTTAATTTTGATATTACTTGAGTTTACGAAAAGGATGAAAAGCTCTTTTTATCCAGATCTTCGAGAGGCATTTTTTAAATTTCCGTTATAGGCTTAGATAAAAAAAAAGTTAGAAACGGGAGCTTTTTTTAGTTTCTTTCTTGTCATTCCAAGTAATAGTGAAATTTAAAAAAAAGCATTTTGATCACCGTCTAGTAGACTAGTCCCGCTATTGTGGAAGAAAAATTCAAGTCACTGCCAGTTTTAAAAAAGTTATTGCGTTTTGAATTTGCGCTCAATTTTGTGAGCAACTGTGCATTATATTTATTTATATTGATCAGTTAGCTGTTGCAGTCTCTTCGAAACGAAGTGCGTGGAGTGCAATTAAGTAAAAAAATGTTCGATTTTCGTCAGATTTTGTTTAAATAAAACTCTTCTATAAAATATAATATAATTATATTATAATAAATATAAAAATAATAAAACTATATAATTTAGTCTACTATAATTATGATTTAGTCCATTAATTTTATAATTTAGTCTACTATATGTATATATATATAGTAATCAAATTCAAATAATTTAAGACTACGAATGTAAAATTGTTAAACTGCCAACTAGCGACAATTATTAAAACAGGAAGGAGATTCCTAAGCGACTCCTGCTTTCGTAACAAACGCAGAAACTGTTTATTTTCCATAAAAATCCGCGGTCCATTCGTTCGAATAATATTTCATGTACACCGTGGAGGGGGTAAACGGCGATACAACGAATGAGAACGCCGGTGGCTCGCTGAATTAGTTCGAAGTAAAATCCCTGGAAGGGGAAAGCTTCCGTCGAACGGTTTTCGTGAACGTCGAGACGATAGTTCGCCACCGAGAATATACGTTCGCGTTCTCCATCGTTTCAGTAGCGGGTTCGAAAGCAGAGAGTTTGACGAGCAAATCGATTCCGTTCCCCGGCATCTTGGTTTCTTTCTCTGTGCTCCTGCGAGCCGATATACCCCGCCTTCCTTAAACCCGAGACCCCGAAGGACCTGAAACGTAGAAATGGGAACCGTTCCCTTCAGTCCGGCGAGGCTGCAGGTGTGCCGTCACACGGACGCACACCTGTACACGTTCTCGGGACGATTCCGAGCGCGATTTCATTTGCGCCCTAAGTCTCGCGCAATATCCACTTAAATTGCGCTCTCGCGCGCAGGCGGCCCAGCTAGCGCAGCGGTTCTCAATCCGTCCGACGATCTTCCAAATTTCGATAGAAGAGAATGAAAACGAAGGTGTTTGACAGAAAATGGAATAGCCGAATCTTTCTATCTTGAATTTGATTAACGATGCTCGAGCGAATCGTTTTTCTAAAGTCGCAGCAATTTAACGCTAGATTTACGCAGCACAAAAAACAGCTGTCTTACATCAGTTGATCACGGTAATAATAAGACTTTTTTGAACGCTTCGGTCGCTGTGTCAGTTGCACGCGGGTGACGGAATTATTTGGGAAATTAATTAATACGCTGATCTGTCGTCTTTTTAATTTCATTGGGATCCGCAGAATGTAAGAATGTTCAAAATTGATTTGATATCGCGCCACTTAGCTCTTTCCAATCTTAATTCGATCAAAGCTCGGACTAATTAAATCGTCGCCTGATCGGTCAATTTTCGGCAGTTCTGTTAATACTGGATTTACGGAGCACGAAAAACAGCTGTTTTATATTAGTTTATGAAAGTGACAATTTACTGACATTTATTCTGATTTCTAACAAGCGTTATTGCCACATTTGCTGTGAGAGTAGCATATAAATTGAATAAATAACTCATCAATGTATCTTTACGATATACAGGGTATCCCAGGTTTTAATGTTCAAACTTCGTCAGTATATTCTATGGCACAAAGTATGAAAAAAATGTTATCTAAACATAGGTCATATAGAGCTTCATTAAGAAGTTATGACAAAAATTCAGAATAGGAATAGTAATCAACTTGCTGTTACTGCGAGCATTGGCTTGAATAGATCAGCACATGCTGTGTGTTTATGTAAGCTGTGTTTATTAATACATTTCGAAATGCTGTCTCTTATACACATCTAGATGTGTATAAGAGACAGTAGGAATAGTAATCAACTTGCTGTTACTGCGAGCATTGGCTTGAATAGATCAGCACATGCTGTGTGTTTATGTAAGCTGTGTTTATTAATACATTTCGAAATGCTGTCTCTTATACACATCTAGATGTGTATAAGAGACAGTAGGAATAGTAATCAACTTGCTGTTACTGCGAGCATTGGCTTGAATAGATCAGCACATGCTGTGTGTTTATGTAAGCTGTGTTTATTAATACATTTCGAAATGCTGTCTCTTATACACATCTAGATGTGTATAAGAGACAGTAGGAATAGTAATCAACTTGCTGTTACTGCGAGCATTGGCTTGAATAGATCAGCACATGCTGTGTGTTTATGTAAGCTGTGTTTATTAATACATTTCGAAATGCTGTCTCTTATACACATCTAGATGTGTATAAGAGACAGTAGGAATAGTAATCAACTTGCTGTTACTGCGAGCATTGGCTTGAATAGATCAGCACATGCTGTGTGTTTATGTAAGCTGTGTTTATTAATACATTTCGAAATGCTGTCTCTTATACACATCTAGATGTGTATAAGAGACAGTAGGAATAGTAATCAACTTGCTGTTACTGCGAGCATTGGCTTGAATAGATCAGCACATGCTGTGTGTTTATGTAAGCTGTGTTTATTAATACATTTCGAAATGCTGTCTCTTATACACATCTAGATGTGTATAAGAGACAGTAGGAATAGTAATCAACTTGCTGTTACTGCGAGCATTGGCTTGAATAGATCAGCACATGCTGTGTGTTTATGTAAGCTGTGTTTATTAATACATTTCGAAATGCTGTCTCTTATACACATCTAGATGTGTATAAGAGACAGATATAATATAATATAATATAATATAATATAATATAATATAATATAATATAATATAATATAATTAACACCCTTCAATAATGTTGGGACACCCTATAATCGTAAATTAAACAATTAGTGACCCGCCATTTTGACGGGTCCCGTTAAATCTAGTGTGAAAGAGGATGTTCGAAACGGACCTCTTTGTGTCAACTTAGTCAGCTAGCTCTAATTATACCGTACATGTTCGATTTTCTACGCATTTCGTTTAAATACAACACTTCCATAAAATGTATGAAAAATGTATAAAATGTATGTTCAACGCGTTAAGCGTCAAACTTGTTTGGTCTACCTTTCTCCATTTAGCCCGCGTTACAAAATTCCGTGAAACCTGCGAGTATACCGTTTTTCAACCAGTTAACTGTGGCGATCTCTTTGCAAAGCGCCCACCAGTGTGTGTCGCGATAATCAAGCGATGACAGGCGATGAATCGAACGATCAAGCGATGAATCCAACACAAATTATTTATAACTTTCATTCGTTTGTTTCACTTCGTCTCGACCTCTAAACATGTTAAACATACTAAAACTTACGAACATAATTTAGTTTTCGCCGGAATCACAATTTAAATATCAAATTGCAACAAAATTTTACGAACGACGGATATAATCGTCGTGACACAACATTCTGCCGCATCTCCATGACGGATATAACACGCTTAACCGGTTAATAACACTCGTTTAAATTTCTTTTCTCTCGCAACGATATGTCCAGGCACGTTCTTTTACGATCCCGAAATTATTCGAAATTTAGTAACAGAAGAATATCATTTCTTAAATCGAACATCGTCGGTAATTGAACGCGGCGATCGACGCGTCAACCGGCGCAGCTGTTTCCGACGAGTATATACGCGACGCGAAGAAACGAAACGTTACGCGCTCCGTCGAGTATACTCGTCGATAGCTAATTGGATAATATTATAAATTCGTCGGGACTGTTTTCCGCGGCGATGCAGCGATCGATGCGAGAGTTTCTGCACAATGAGCCAGCGCTCGAGCTTGTCAGGATCTCAAAAGGTTCTATTGTAAACGTTTGTGTATCGCAAACAAACGCGTGGGTGGAGTGAGGAGGTTGAGGAGCGCTGCGCGAGGGCGCAGGGAAGATAGGAGGCAGCGCGTAATGCAGCGTGCAGATAGCATCCCGGTCGTTTCTAGATAACAATGACATCGAACGCGGACCCGATGGAATCGTAATGAAAACGATCCGCGTATTAATTGGTTTTAATGTCGGCCCGGGGGCGCTCGGTTGGCCCCGCGACCCGATCGAACGCGACCCCGAAATCTCCATCGTTCTCGAAAGAGTGGGAATCGGTTTTAACACTGCCGCCCGCCCACACGCCTCGACCCGGCTGTAATTCCGCCGCCGTCGAGAATCGGGACACGCCTGTTGCCGATGCTTTTGCAATCTCTGCTCGTTACACGCTCCTCGATTGACAAACTTTGATGACGCTGATAATGGATACTCTCGGACCTCAAACGTTGCGTGGATTGTACCGCTGATTGCTTTCGTATCGTTTCGACATCGCCGACGATTATTCAGCCATGCTCGATAAGCGACGGTCTGGCCCTCTCGACGATCTTTGTCTTTTGAAAATGTTTCCTTTGAATTCGTTTCAAACGAGTGACCTTAAAATTTGAAAATTCGGAAGATATTCGGAGGACCAGAAGGACGTTCTGAGCTTCGAATGAAGCAGAACTTAGTCGTTTAAGATGTCATAATTTTGCTTTGAACTTTTCGCGCTGTTGTAAAATCGTCCGAAATTGTTTTTGCAGTTATAGTACAACGGTAGAGAAAAAGTTACGACGGTCTGACTCTCTCGACGATTTTTGAAAATGTTTCTTTTGAATTAATTTGACCGAATGTCAGCTCCAAATTTGACATAAGCAGCCTAAGAGCAGACATTCAGAGGACCAGAAGGACGTTGCGACGGTCTGACCCTCTCGACGATCTTTGAATATGTTTCGTTTGAGTTAATTTGACCGAATGTCAGCTTCAAATTTGACAAAAGCAGCCTAAGAGCAGACGTTCAGAGGATGAGAAGGACGTTCCGAGCCTCGAATAAAGCAAACTTAGTTGTCTAAGATGTCATAATTTTGCTTACGAACTTCTCGCGCTATTGTAAAATCGTCCGAAATTGTTATTGCAATTATAGCACAACGATAAAGAAAAAGCTGCGACGGTCTGACCCTCTCGACAATTTTTGAAAATGTTTCTTTTGAATTTGACCGAATGTCAGCTTCAAATTTGACAAAAGGCAGCCTAAGAAAAGACATTCAGAGGACCAGAAGGACGTTCCGAGCCTCGAATTAAACAGATTTTAGTTGTCTAAGATGTCATAATTTTGCTTACGAACTTCTAACGATGCCATAAAATCGTTCGAAATTGTTATTTCAATTATAGCACAACGATAAAGAAAAAGCTGCGACGGTCTGACTCTCTCGACGATCTTCGAAAATGTTTCTTTTGAATTAATTCGACCGAATGTCAGCTTTAAATTTGACAAAAGCAGCCTAAGAGCAGACGTTCAGAGGACCAGAAGGACATTCCGAGCCTCGAATGAAGCATAACTTAGTTATCTAAGATGTTATAATTTTACTTACGAAAAAACTTCTCGCGCTGTCGATCGTCCGAAATTATTATTGCAATTATAATACAACGGTAGAGAAAAAGTTTCGATGGTTATTGAGAGATCTGCTGTAGCAAGATGTCAACTATGATATCCGATCGAAAAATGTGGTCCGCGTTCGCCCGTTTTTAAGGTATCCGAGTTAAACGAGCGTCGACGTGTAAAATGTAAAGTGTCAAGTTTAACCTTTGATGCCGGTTCGACGTGAACGCGTACGTCAACGACGCCGCATTGGCTGTCACGTGTATGCATGAACACGCCATATTATATAAATAGAATCCAATAGAAACATGTACAACGAGAATATTTCGCGTTTCGTTAGTACACGTTCGGAACACGAAAATTATCACGAAAATACACGAAAATGATTATTATTATTAGCCTTTTCGTTTCGTACAGGATCAAATGCATTGCAATAAAAATAACTGAATTCTCGCCAATTTAATTACCGGCTCGAGGGGTTAAAAACGTTGAAATGAAAACCGCCGTGCGAAGTCGCATATTCCAATCGTACAATAATAGCCAAATTAAAGAATTTGAGAATTATCGACGTTCACTGAAAATATGTTAAAAGCGGCGCTTTAAATCGGCAGTGTCTAATTTTCCATTTTGAATTTTGCGTTTTTGCAAAAGAAGATGTCCTCGATGAAGAAGACCTCCCACGCCTGTTACAAACTTTCTTCGTTCTTTTAGTTTTGTTTTCGTTATTTGAACTACGAATCATCGTTATATAATCATAGTGACGTCATAAAATTATAAAGTCACCACGAATCAACTTAACCGTAAATCCTGTTAACAACAAACTTTGGTCACTGAACAGTGCACGCGACAGTAAACAATGAAACTACATATTTCTCAGAATCAGAAAAATGTGACTGACGTCGCTATGATAAGCGAGTCGCTATGATAAGCAAGTCGCTAAATAACCAAGTCGCTTAGCCTTACATAATAGCCAACTTAACCATAAATTCTGTTAACAACAAACTTTGGTCAATGAACAATGCACACGATAGTAAACAATGAAGCTACTTCTTTCTCAGAATCAGAAAAATGTCAATAGTGACTTACGTCGCTATGATAAGCGAGTCGCTAAATAACCAAATCGCTAAATAACCAAGTCGCTTAGCCTTACATTCGTATGCACATAGATATCCGCGGGGTCGGGAATCCGTTAAGTGGCGTCTCCGAATTTTTCGAAGCCCCGAAGGAGCTTCCGTTTATTGGCCGTGGAGCTGTATCGTTAGCAGACTTGGTACACGTGTACGTAGGTACGGTCTGGTTTCGGCAGCAATTTGCGCAACGATCCCGGCGTTCCTGCTCGGGATCGATGCGGCCCTCTTGAAGACATTCGACGATCCCGGCCGGCGATCGCGCCCGTGAACACCGAAATATCCGCAGAAATTGAAGTGGCCGACGTCGAGCGCCGCGGCGCGCCGTTTAAGTGTGCCCGGGACAGGGTACGTTTGCACGGAGGATTTCGAGGGACAAGATGTCCGGCGCGGCTTGGAGAACGCATCTCCGAGGATGAAGGGGTCCTTGGAATGCGAGCTATAGGGTCGCCGGGGGCCGGTGTATGTGTTTCAGACTCCATTACTTGAATTGGGATGGGAATACCGGCTGGTCCCTACACACCCTCCATATTTCGGGCAAATGTTCGCGCCCATCGGCCGCCGTCTTCCCGGCAGACCGTTCCCCATTCTCTCTCCCTCTCTCACTCTCTCTCTCTCCCTTTCTCGCTCTCTCTTTCTCTCTCTCCCTTTCTCGCTCTCTCTCTCTCTCTCTCTCTCTCTCTCTCTCTCTCTTCGCGCCGATTCCCGCAGCAAATATACACAGGATCGTCCTATTTTCTTCGGTCTCCCTTGTTCCCTATTTTCGGGATTCCAGACGGGACCCGGAACGGGCAGCTTCCATGCGACTTCGCGACCTATCGTCCGGATCTCACGGTTCTTGATTGGTATTCCTGGCAGCCGGACGTTTTTCTGCCGGACTGTTTGGGGAATACCCGGTTCAAGAATTTAATTCTCGTGGCCCGGGCGCGCCCCGCCGGCAAACCGACCGACCGCCTTTGCCCGGGCCCGATTCAATCCGGCTCCTTCGGCCCGCGTATCCAACTTCTGCGAATTAATCCGATAATTCTGCGAATCGCGTGGCTTCGCTCGGAAAATACACCGCGGACGGTTGCCTCGCCTCGACCTTAACATTCTCTTCTCTTCGCTTCCGCTCGATTCGGCGGACGACTCTCTCCTCTCTCTCTCTCTCTCTCTCTCTCTCTCTCTCTCTCTCTCTCGAGATAGGAACGGTACATTCGCCGACTCTTCGTTCTGAATCCTGATTTCGGCCATCGGTCGAGTCACCGCGGAACGCAACAACGGGGACTGTTTTATCGGGGGTATAACTTTCCAGCGGTTCACGTGAAAGAGACGCGATACTTTTCGGTGCTCGGTGCATTTTCGAGATCGAGCGGTTTCACCGGATCGTTCTGTTGCGATCGCGATACGGAGGTACATAATGTAGCAGTTTCTTTGTGACTGCATTGCTTGGTGGAAGATTGTCGAAGCACAGTTGTTAAATTATTATATGTTGTTAACATGGATTGTATGTTATTATTATATGTTATTAACACTCTGCAGTCGAGGATATTTGAATTCGTAATAACATGATTCGCGAATAAATACTTTTAACCGCTCTTTAAATATAAAGAAATTTCGATATTGTTTGCTAATACCGATGCTGTTACTAATTATTGATACTAATTATTTTGGAACGTGGTACAGCAACTTTTAGTTTCTCCCGAGAGTTGCCACTCGAGTGGAATTTTTTAAAAGGCTCCAGATTGACTTTTGCATTGATATTTAGCTATTTCGTTGATCTACATTATATGTAAAAAATGATTAAAATGATTGATCCTAAAATGAATGTATTGATCCTAATTGGTCCTACTGGTCCGATTGGTCCTAAAATGATCTATAGCATATAACACTATAAATTATATAATATAATATATTATTATTATTATTACAATATATTATTATTATTATTATTATTATTATTATATATTATATTATATTATATTATATTATATAAATATATCTATAGCATATAACACTATAAACCTACCGTACCGATCAAAATGACGGTTTCCAAATGTTATTCTTTTAAAATTGTTGAAATTAGTCTTTCGTAGCAAACGATCGAACGAATCTCTGACTAAATATATTTACCAAAAAAAATAAAATAAAATTCAAAAGCGCATTATATATACAAATACAGCAACAGGTCCAAACGAATTCGGCTTCGCCATTTTTCAAAAGCCAGCCCATTATTAAACGTCGTTAGAATTCGTTCTATATATTTAGCGTTAAGTAACCAGGAGCGTAGCATGTTCCGCGTAACTATCGGAGCCCCGAAGACGAAAGGAAGAGTCACGCGCCGAGCGTGCAGCGGAGCGAAGGGCCGCGGAAATCGTATTTTCGAAGTGGCTAGCCGAATGGCAGTTCCCTCGTTGGCGGACGCCGTGGAGAACGGCGCGCGAAAGGCTTGTACAAGGTTGATCATGGCGAACGAGCCCGAAGGTCGTTGGCTGCGTCACGTACAACGGAATCCCTAGCAGCTCGGACGTGGTTACGTGTTCGCCCGGCGAAATAGATTCGTAGACACGCCGCCCCGCTGGCTGGGGACCGTAGCGATCTCTGGGCCGTCGCGCCGCGAAATTACCTCGGATGTTAGAATTATCGACAGGAATTCCGCGCCGCCTTTCGGCTCTCCCGGCTCTGGCGTGGGTGAAAGGCAGGTGCCGGTAATGGTCCAAGTTCGCGCGCGAAAGAAACCTTCTTCGGGAAGGGTTGCGCTCTGCGAGGCCCTGCCGCGGCAAAACTCGGGAATTATCGCGTCCCACGAATTTATTTCGATAGAAATTCTGGGGGCCACCGCCGCCCCGGGTAGACTCGATCTATGGGACCGTGGGATCCCCGTAGACCGCCGGGTTCTCACGTAACTACGGACTAGCGAAGTTTCGAATCAGCTGGGACTATCTTCGGGAACCGCTAGTCGTAAATACGCCCGGCGCGCGGATCTTAACCGTAGAACTTGCCGGGACCTTGCTAGATTTACAGGGTCTACTTGATAGTGCGACGAACGATGGCAGAGACGCACGACCCGCGGCCAGGATTAGCGGCGAACCTCCGTTTTCAAATTCATTTTCGGCCGGCACACCGCGCCGACCGCTGCTTCCCGTTTCTTCGGCCGAACTTCGCTTTTCGAACGAGTCGCGCGAGTCGATCTCGCGTCGTCCGCAGATCCCAGATATGATTCTTTTGTTCGACGCCGGCATAATAGCTTGGAAATCTTAGATTTAAAAAATAAATGTCGGAGATGGCGGTAATATAAATTCCTAACATTAAGATATGTCATCCAAGAATTTTCGTACTTGATTCTTAGATAAATAAGCACAATGCTGTAGTTAGTTTGCTGCCTTTTAACACCTAAGAAATATAGTTCATATGTTATTTCAGTTTTTTAACACGTTCAGCGCCGACCGCTGCTTCTCGTTTCTTCGGCCGAACTTCGCTTTTCGAAGGAGTCGCGCGAGTCGATCTCGCTGCGTTCTTAACACTATGCCGTCCGCAGATCTTAGATATGATTCTTTTGTTCGACGCCGGCATAATAGCTTGGAAATCTTAGATTTAAAAAAAAAATGTCGGAGATGGCGGTAATATAAATTCATAAAATTAAGATATGTCATCCAAGAATTTTCGTACTTGATTCTTAGATAAATAAGCACAATGCTATCGTTAGTTTGCTGCCTTTTAACACCTAAGAAATATAGTTCAAATGTTATTTCAGTTTTTTAACACGTTCAGCGCCGACAATCGCTCGCTAAAATTCCCACGAAGTCGAAGCAATTTAATTAATTGAACCGAACCTAGAAGGTTGAAATTTATCATAGTGGACGAGATTAGAACTCTTTCGCATCCGAAACATTCCGGTCAAATTCAGTTTGTACGAATATATTACAGTGAAAATGAATGTTCAAAATTGGTCAAAAATTAGTGTCACCCACGAATGACCGACGCGGCGGTCGACGTGTTAAAATGGCACCAAAGTGGTACCACCGGCATACAACGGATAGTTTTTGCATGGCACCAGCGTGGTGCCACCGGACGGCAT